ACATGGTATAATGCACCTTCCTGTGTATCCTCTTAAGCTTATACCATTTAACTGACATGGCTCAGTGCTCTGGGATTCTGAGATTTTTAGTTTTGTGAGCTATTTAGCCTTCGCTATCAGAGAGCTCTGGTGCCACACTAAACCTATAAATCCCAGGATTCTATAAGATTGAGCCATGACAGTGTCAAACTGCATGACTTCTCTAGTGTGGCAGCAGCCATCATGTCAGTGCTTACTGTCTTTTGACAAAAACAAGGGCCAGCCCTGTTAGCCAAAGACTGAAACAAAATTGAGGACTTCAACTCCCAACATCCCCAACCTAGGGTGACAAGACCTCCTCCTTTTCCAGAACATGTCCTACATTTCAACCTTCTGTCCAAAAGGAATTTCAAAATGTCCTCCATTTTGAGCATAACTCAGCATGAATTTATATTTATCTTCATATTCTTAGCTTTTCTTTGGTCATGCCCTCAATTTTTTTTCTTGACTGTCCTACTTTTTGCAGTGCCTTGTCCTCCTTTATGGTTAGAACATCTGGTCACCCTGCCTGGGCACCAACCAAGCTTTATGGGAAATGGTAGTCCCCGATCAAGCTCAGTGGAGGATGCTGTGAGATGACACTCCCCAACCAAGCTCTTTGGAGGATGCTGGGAGAGGCAACCCACGATCAAGCTTGTTGGTGGATGCTAGGAGATGCAGTCCCAGACCAAAGTCATTGGAGGATGCTGGGAGAGAATCCCCAACTGAGCTTGTTGGTGGATGCTGGAAGATGCACTTCTTGACCAAGCTCGCTGGAGGGTACTGGGAGATGCAGTCTCAACCAAGCTCATTCTAGGATGCTGAGAAATGCAGTCCTTGGCCAAGCTCATTGGACAGTGCCAGGAGATGCAGTTCCCGACCAAGCTCTTTGGAGGATGCTGGGAGATGCAGTCCCTCACCAAGGTTGTGGGAGGGTGCTGGAAAATGCATTCCCCTACCAAGCTTTTTGGAGCATGCTGGAAGAGGCAGTCCCAGAGCAAGCTCATTGGATGATACTGGGTGAAGCAGTCCTACATCAAGTTCACTGGAGGGTACTGGGAGAGGCAGTCCCACAGCAAGCTCGTTGGAGGATGCTGGGCGATGCAGTCCCCCCCCCATAAAAATCCTGTCCCTCCAGGCTGTGCTCAAAACTCACCTTTTTGTCCCATGAGGGACCTACTAAAACAAATTACAGTACTTGCCCATAGGGAATCATTGTAGAATAGTTGCCCATAGGGATTTATGGATCATTTATGGATTCCTTTTTTTTGATGTTGAATGTTTTAGCAACCCAGCCTCTAGTATTCTCTAGCTGACCAGCAAACGTTCTCCACTGAGGGCCTTTGCAGACTGCCAGAAATAGTGCACATTAAATTGAGGCACTGCCCTAGCTCAGTGCTAGGGAATCATGGGAACTGTAATTTATTGTGGCACCAGAGCTCTCTGACAGAGAAGGCTCAGTGTCCCAGAAAAAATTACAATTCCCATGACTCCCTAGCACTGAGCCAGGGCAGTGCTTCAATTTAATGTGCACTATTTCTGGCAGTCTGCAAAGGCCCTGATTCTCTATAGGCAAATATTTCCCTAGGTTTCCCTATGGCACTATTCTCTAAAGATTCTCTATGGGCAAGTATTTCCCCTAGGTTTCCCTATAGGAGTATTCTCCAATGATTCTCTATCAGCAAGTTATTTCCCCTAGGTTTCCCTATGGGAGTCTTCTCCAATGATTCTCTATGGGCAAATATTCCCCTAGGTTTCCCTATGGAACTATTCTCCAATGATTCTCTATGGACAAGTATGGTTTCTCT